TGGGGTGGTTCAAATAGCCTCGGCTATCACCTCATTATGTCCGGTCGTGATGGTCAAGTGGATTAAGGCGTCTTGTACATACCAGTTGCGTTGCTTCTGGGAGTATGGGTTCGAGTCACTTCTGGGGTGTGAGTTTTCAGTTGTATATTGTCCTGGGGACCATTCAGGCTTGTTCGCATTTGTGTTCCTCACGTGTGCCCCAAAGAATGAGGTGATTTGGTAAAATGCTATGCCCAAGATTACTATCCAAGTGCCGGCGGTGGGGTGGTTCAAATAGCCTCGGCTATCACCTCATTATGTCCGGTCGTGATGGTCAAGTGGATTAAGGCGTCTTGTACATACCAGTTGCGTTGCTTCTGGGAGTATGGGTTCGAGTCACTTCTGGGGTGTGAGTTTTCAGTTGCATATTGTCCTGAGGACCATTCAGGCTTGTTCGCATATATATATATATATATATATATATATATATATATATATATATATATATATATATATATATATATATATATATAAATGGAAATTTAGCACATTTAAATAATGTTATTAAGCTTAAGAATAAATTACATATGATTAACATAGTAAAATGACTGGGATACAGATGGATCAGTAATCATATTACAAGTCCAATTATTTCCTAACTGAAGTCTGTAACGCACTATCATGTCATATTTCATAATACAAATTAGGTAAGAGATATGCAATATCAACACAAAATCGTCAGCTACTATTTCCAAAACACATTTATTATATAGCATTTAATTAAACTGCTCTTTCACTTCGGGGGCGCTTACGCTGATAGGGTGTTTTGGCAATTCCAAATGTTTTTGGGATTGAAAATATTTTGTTTTTGTCATACATTTTAGTATTTTCATACCATACCAGTCTTGTACATACCAGTTGCGTTGCTTCTGGGAGTATGGGTTCGAGTCACTTCTGGGGTGTGAGTTTTCAGTTGTATATTGTCCTGGGGACCATTCAGGCTTGTTCGCATTTGTGTTCCTCACGTGTGCCCCAAAGAATGAGGTGATTTGGTAAAATGCTATGCCCAAGATTACTATCCAAGTGCCGGCGGTGGGGTGGTTCAAATAGCCTCGGCTATCACCTCATTATGTCCGGTCGTGATGGTCAAGTGGATTAAGGCGTCTTGTACATACCAGTTGCGTTGCTTCTGGGAGTATGGGTTCGAGTCACTTCTGGGGTGTGAGTTTTCAGTTGCATATTGTCCTGAGGACCATTCAGGCTTGTTCGCATATATATATATATATATATATATATATATATATATATATATATATATATATATATATATATATATATAAATGGAAATTTAGCACATTTAAATAATGTTATTAAGCTTAAGAATAAATTACATATGATTAACATAGTAAAATGACTGGGATACAGATGGATCAGTAATCATATTACAAGTCCAATTATTTCCTAACTGAAGTCTGTAACGCACTATCATGTCATATTTCATAATACAAATTAGGTAAGAGATATGCAATATCAACACAAAATCGTCAGCTACTATTTCCAAAACACATTTATTATATAGCATTTAATTAAACTGCTCTTTCACTTCGGGGGCGCTTACGCTGATAGGGTGTTTTGGCAATTCCAAATGTTTTTGGGATTGAAAATATTTTGTTTTTGTCATACATTTTAGTATTTTCATACCATACCAGTCTTGTACATACCAGTTGCGTTGCTTCTGGGAGTATGGGTTCGAGTCACTTCTGGGGTGTGAGTTTTCAGTTGTATATTGTCCTGGGGACCATTCAGGCTTGTTCGCATTTGTGTTCCTCACGTGTGCCCCAAAGAATGAGGTGATTTGGTAAAATGCTATGCCCAAGATTACTATCCAAGTGCCGGCGGTGGGGTGGTTCAAATAGCCTCGGCTATCACCTCATTATGTCCGGTCGTGATGGTCAAGTGGATTAAGGCGTCTTGTACATACCAGTTGCGTTGCTTCTGGGAGTATGGGTTCGAGTCACTTCTGGGGTGTGAGTTTTCAGTTGCATATTGTCCTGAGGACCATTCAGGCTTGTTCGCATATATATATATATATATATATATATATATATATATATATATATATATATATATATATATATATATATATATATATATATATATATATATATATATTAGTATATTTTGGTAGCAGTCTTTCCTGTAGACATATATTATTAAATATGACCGAAAAAGTAAGATTAATAATTCTAACACGAATTTTCTCAATCTTTCGTACAATACGCTTCACTGTTGGAGGTAAATAAAAAATCACTTCTCCAAAATTCATTTTTATTTCTAGTCTGACGCGACACGGGCGCGTTTCGTAAAACTTATTACATTTTCAAAGACTTCACAAATACACAACTGATTAGAACGTATCTCTGATTTTATATCTACATTTGAGTGAGGTGGGAAGGGTGATGTGGCATTAACACAAGACAGAACAGGAGGGGATATTAATAGGGTATTAAAAGTATCAACACAAGACAGAACAGAAACAATGGGTATTGAATAGAAGTGTTTGTAGAAAGCCTATTGGTCCACATTTCTTGATGCTTCTATATTGGAGCGGAGTCTTGAGGTGGGTAGAATATAGTTGTGCAATAATTGGCTGTTGATTGCTGGTGTTGACTTCTTGATGTGTAGTGCCTCGCAAACGTCAAGCCGCCTGCTATCGCTGTATCTATCGATGATTTCTGTGTTGTTTACTAGGATTTCTCTGGCGATGGTTTGGTTATGGGAAGAGATTATATGTTCCTTAATGGAGCCCTGTTGCTTATGCATCGTTAAACGCCTAGAAAGAGATGTTGTTGTCTTGCCTATATACTGGGTTTTTTGGAGCTTACAGTCCCCAAGTGGGCATTTGAAGGCATAGACGACATTAGTCTCTTTTAAAGCGTTCTGTTTTGTGTCTGGAGAGTTTCTCATGAGTAGGCTGGCTGTTTTTCTGGTTTTATAGTAAATCGTCAGTTGTATCCTCTGATTTTTGTCTGTAGGGATAACGTTTCTATTAACAATATCTTTCAGGACCCTTTCCTCCGTTTTATGAGCTGTGGAAAAGAAGTTCCTGTAAAATAGTCTAATAGGGGGTATAGGTGTTGTGTTAGTTGTCTCTTCCGAGGTTGCATGGCTTTTCACTTTCCTTCTTATGATGTCTTCGATGAAACCATTGGAGAAGCCGTTATTGACTAGGACCTGCCTTACCCTACAGAGTTCTTCGTCGACTTGCTTCCATTCTGAGCTGTGGCTGAGAGCACAGTCGACGTATGCGTTAACAACACTCCTCTTGTACCTGTCAGGGCAGTCGCTGTTGGCATTTAGGCACATTCCTATGTTTGTTTCCTTAGTGTAGACTGCTGTGTGGAAACCTCCGCCCTTTTCCATGACTGTTACATCTAGAAAAGGCAGCTTCCCATCCTTTTCCGTCTCGTAAGTGAACGGAAAAGAGTGTACACAACAGGTACAAGAGGAGTGTTGTTAACGCATACGTCGACTGTGCTCTCAGCCACAGCTCAGAATGGAAGCAAGTCGACGAAGAACTCTGTAGGGTAAGGCAGGTCCTAGTCAATAACGGCTTCTCCAATGGTTTCATCGAAGACATCATAAGAAGGAAAGTGAAAAGCCATGCAACCTCGGAAGAGACAACTAACACAACACCTATACCCCCTATTAGACTATTTTACAAGAACTTCTTTTCCACAGCTCATAAAACGGAGGAAAGGGTCCTGAAAGATATTGTTAATAGAAACGTTATCCCTACAGACAAAAATCAGAGGATACAACTGACGATTTACTATAAAACCAGAAAAACGGCCAGCCTACTCATGAGAAACTCTCCAGACACAAAACAGAACGCTTTAAAAGAGACTAATGTCGTCTATGCCTTCAAATGCCCACTTGGGGACTCTAAGCTCCAAAAAACCCAGTATATAGGCAAGACAACAACATCTCTTTCTAGGCGTTTAACGATGCATAAGCAACAGGGCTCCATTAAGGAACATATAATCTCTTCCCATAACCAAACCATCGCCAGAGAAATCCTAGTAAACAACACAGAAATCATCGATAGATACAGCGATAGCAGGCGGCTTGACGTTTGCGAGGCACTACACATCAAGAAGTCAACACCAGCAATCAACAGCCAATTATTGCACAACTATATTCTACCCACCTCAAGACTCCGCTCCAATATAGAAGCATCAAGAAATGTGGACCAATAGGCTTTCTACAAACACTTCTATTCAATACCCATTGTTTCTGTTCTGTCTTGTGTTGATACTTTTAATACCCTATTAATATCCCCTCCTGTTCTGTCTTGTGTTAATGCCACATCACCCTTCCCACCTCACTCAAATGTAGATATAAAATCAGAGATACGTTCTAATCAGTTGTGTATTTGTGAAGTCTTTGAAAATGTAATAAGTTTTACGAAACGCGCCCGTGTCGCGTCAGACTAGAAATAAAAATGAATTTTGGAGAAGTGATTTTTGATTTACCTCCAACAGTGAAGCGTATTGTACGAAAGATTGAGAAAATTCGTGTTAGAATTATTAATCTTACTTTTTCGGTCATATTTAATAATATATATATATATATATATATATATATATATATATATATATATATATATATATATATATAAATGGAAATTTAGCACATTTAAATAATGTTATTAAGCTTAAGAATAAATTACATATGATTAACATAGTAAAATGACTGGGATACAGATGGATCAGTAATCATATTACAAGTCCAATTATTTCCTAACTGAAGTCTGTAACGCACTATCATGTCATATTTCATAATACAAATTTGGTAAGAGATATGCAATATCAACACAAAATCGTCAGCTACTATTTCCAAAATGGTCACTGCTTGATCGCAAGCGGGGATTTTTCTGGCGGGGGAGAAAGAAACAATTGCGCAGCGCGTCCCGCGGCGTTGCGCGGGCAGTTTGGGGCCTGTATAAATACGGGCGCACACTGGGGCTCTGCCTCACTCCGCCTGCCCTCGCCGCTGCCCTCGCAAAACTCACTGCTGCTCAGCGAGTCGTAAACACAGAAGTTTAGCCCGCTCAACTGTTCTCACAGCATGGACCCTACAACAGTTCCTCGCGACAACGACTCGGAGCGACCCGTTAGGGGCGTCCTGCCCTTCTCAACATTTAAGGTAGTTTTTGTGTTTTGTTGGCGCGCGGGACCAGTGTTTGTGTTGGCGCGTCAGACCAGTGTTTGTCTCTTTGTTGGCGCGCGCGCCCTGAAGCACGCCTGTTGGTTCAGCGTTGGTGACCAAATGCAGGTGCAGTGGTCCTAGAGGGGAAGGTGACCCTCGGTGTTATGGGGCACTGGGTTTTTCTCCAGTAGGTGGCTGTTATTTGAACCACACTCGGGAGGAGGCCTGTCCACCCCTACCCTCTCCTTCCCCATCTGCTCAGCCCTGTCCTTAAGCTCCCCACCCAGTCGACGTGAGGTATGCTGTTGGGCGACTTCTGTTATGCCGTTATTTATTATTTACGTTCTTTATATGTCCCTTACAGTCTGACTGTTAGTCAGGGTGTGTTTCCTCACGCTACAATATTTACTGTAATTTTACCTTTGCTTTCGCCCCTAGCTTTAATTCTCTTGGATTTGTATTTTCATAAGTTCCTTAATTTATTAACGAATTTAATGGTGGCAAGCTGCATGTTTCTTTTGCAGGCTTTTCATTCAGGTCTGTTTTAACTTTTGCTTATTGCCTATAAGTTATTAGGTAAAGTCAGCTAGGTTAGGCTAGCTGCCGAGTCACAGGCCTCTGGCCACCAGCTTTAAGTTTAATGGACTAGTTTTTCCATAAGTTTCCTTAACTTATTAACGAATTTGCAGTGTCAAGCTCCCTGTTTTTTTGCAGGTTGTACATTTAGTTTTATTTAACTTTAGCTTATTGCCTTTAAGTTATTAGGGAAAGTCAGCTAGGTTAGGCTAGCTGCTGTGTCACAGGCCTCTGGCCCCTAGCTTTGTTTTCATGGACCTGTTTTCCCACAAGTTTCCTTAATTTACTACTGAAATTTATGCAGTGTTAAGCTGCATGTTTCTTTAGCTGGATTTAAATTTAGGTTTGTTTTAACTTCTGGTCATTGCCTTTAAGTTAGTAGGTAAAGTTAGCTAGGTTAGGCAAGCTGCTGTGTCACAGGCCTCTGGCCCCTAGCTTTGTTTTCGTGGACTTGTTTTCCCACAAGTTTCCTTATTTTACTACTGAAATTTATGCAGTGTTAAGCTGCATGTTTCCTTAGCTGGTTTTAAATTTAGGTTTGTTTTAACTTCTGGTCATTGCCTTTAAGTTAGTAGGTAAAGTTAGCTAGGTTAGGCTAGCTGCAGTGTCACAGGCCTCTGGCCCCTAGCTTCGTTTTCTGGATTTGTTTCCATAAGTTTCCTCATTTTATTATTGAATTTTATGCAGTGTCAAGCTGCGTGTTTCTTTAGCTGGTTTTACATTTAGGTTGTTTTAACTTTTGGTCTTTGCCTATAAGTTATTAGGTAAAGTCAGCTAGGTTGCTAGCTGCTGTGTCCCAGGCCTCCGGCCTCTAGCTTTAAATTTTCTTGGACTTGTGTTTTCCATAAGTTTCCTTAATTTATTATTGAATTTAATGCAGTGTCAAGCTGCATGTTTTCTTTTGCAGGTTTTACACTTAGGTTTGTGTAACTTTGCTTGCCTATAAGTTATTAGGTAAAGTCGGCTAGGTTAGGCTAGCTGCAGTGTCTCAGGCCTCTGGCTCCTAGCTTTGTTTCATGGACTTGTTTTTCCATAACTTTCCTTTATTAATGAATTTTATGCAGTGTCAAGCTGCATGTTTTCTTTAGCTGGTTTTACATTTGTTTGTTTAACTTTTGCTATTGCCTTTAAGTTATTATGTAAAGTCAGCTAGGTTATGCTAGCTGCTGTGTTCACAGGCCTCCGGCCTCTAGCTTTAAGTTTTTATGGACTTGTTTTCCATAAGTTTCCTTAATTTATTAATGAATTTTATGCAGTGTCAAGCTGCTAGTTTCTTTGCTGGTTTTACATTCGTTTGTTTAACCTCTGCTTTGCCTTTAAGTTATTATGTAAAGTCATCTAGGATGTGATAGTTGTCGGGATCGGGCCCCTTGCCTCTTGCTTTAAGTTTCTTCTGGCCCTGCATTTATGTTTAGTTTCCTCAGCAAATGTCCTGCATTTTACATTGCCCTTGCTGCATGTTTTTACTTTACTGGTTTACAATTGTTTAACTTATGCTTCACCTTTAAGTAAAGTCAGCTAGGATGTCCTAGATGCTGTCTTCGGGCCTCATGCCTCTCCCTTTAAGTTTATCTCGGACTCGTATTGATTAGTTCCATCAGCAATTTATTACTAATTATGCATTGCCTAAGTGCATGTCATTTTACTTACTGTTTTACCTTTATACTTGTTTCCTTGACTTTGTCAAAGTTATTAAGTACTGACGCTAGACAGTACCAGTTTCGTTTACCAGTACCAGTAAACGTTTTTACAGTCGTTTTGTCTGCCCGGTGTAGCCCAGAAGAATCTGCAGCCTCCCGGCTGCTGGCTTATCCAGACATGTGTGGCCTCCCAGGACGCTGGTTATCAGACGTATTGTCTGCTCGGTGTAGCCCGGAATATACTGCGGCCTCCCAGGCCGCTGGTTATCAGACGTATTGTCTGCTCAGTGTAGCCCGGAAGATACTGCTGCTTCCCAGGCCGCTGGTTTATTCAGACGTTTAGTCTGCCCAACGTAGCCAGGAAGGTTGACAGCCGCTGCCGTCTTAGCTGACTGCGTTCAGGGGCGGCTCCCCAGCCGACGTCCTTCCTGCGATGAGTTAAGCCGACGTCCTTCCTGCGATGAGTTAAGCCGACGTCCTTCCTGCGATGAGTTAAGCCGACGTCCTTCCTGCGATGAGTTAAGCCGACGTCCTTCCTGCGATGAGTTAAGCCGACGTCCTTCCTGCGATGAGTTAAGCCGACGTCCTTCCTGCGATGAGTTAAGCCGACGTCCTTCCTGCGATGAGTTAAGCCGACGTCCTTCCTGCGATGAGTTAAGCCGACGTCCTTCCTGCGATGAGTTAAGCCGACGTCCTTCCTGCGATGAGTTAAGCCGACGTCCTTCCTGCGATGAGTTAAGCCGACGTCCTTCCTGCGATGAGTTAAGCCGACGTCCTTCCTGCGATGAGTTAAGCCGACGTCCTTCCTGCGATGAGTTAAGCCGACGTCCTTCCGGCGATGAGTTAAGCCGACGTCCTTCCGGCGATGAGTTAAGCCGACGTCCTTCCTGCGATGAGTTAAGCCGACGATGTTCTACAGGTATTATATTTATATTGGTCATAAATACACGGCCTTCCTGGCCGCGGGTTTATCCAGACGTGTTGTCTGCCGGTGTAGCCCGGAATCTACTGCGGCCCCCCAGGCCGCTGGTTTCTCCAGACGTTTTGTCTGCCCAATGTAGCCACGAAGGTTGGCATAGCCGCTGCCGTCTTCGCTGTCTGCGCTCGGGGGTTCATGTCCAGCCGACGTTCTTCCTGTGGTGAGTTAAGCTGGCGATGTTATCCAGGTATCTTATTTACATTGGCCATATAAATATGTGGTCTTTCAGGCCGCTGGTTTATCCAGACGTGTTGTCTGCCGGGTAGCCCGGAAGTCACTGTGGGCCCCCCCCCCCCCCCAGGCCGCTGGTTTATCCAGACGTTTCATCTGCCGGTGTAGCCCGGAACGTTTCCACAGCCACCGACTGTGGAAACTTACAAGTGTTAATCCCGTTTCTCTAACGAATTATAGTCCAGCTTTATTTTGAGCATACTTTGTTCTGCAATTTATAATTATTTTGTTATAATTGTATTAATTGTAATTATGTTATAATAGCACAGTTTGCCTAGTTTCCTCAGTAGTTACAGTACTTTCGTTTGGCTCTTGCAGTTATTCACGTCGCTTATTTGGTTATATTTGTTATGCATCTCCTCCGTTCCCTTAATGTAACATGGCTATATATCCACACCGATTGTATACCCTTTTTGTACTTGCAGATACCACGTGCCATGCCTTGCCCTATTCATAATTATGTTCTACATCTCGGCGCTAACATGCCTCCTGTTTCAGGTTACCTCGGACTTTCTTTCCCAATCAGCCTCCTTAATTTACTCCGACAGTTGATGCGTTGCTCATGTCGCATGTTTATTTTTGCGTTGCTGTGTCCAGTATGCTTGCCCACTTTTACCCTGCCTTACGTCAAGTAAAGACAGCCAGGATGTGCTATTTGCAGAGTTACCAAGTAATTTATTAAGTAAAGTCAGACAGGCAGTGCTAGTTGCAGAGTTACTAAGTAAATTATTAAGTAAAGTCAGCCAGGATGTGCTATTTGCAGAGTTCCTAAGAATTATTAAGTAAAGTCAGACAGGATGTGCTATTTGCAGTATTCGCGGGCCCTTATTTTAGCTTCACGTCTCCTGGCCCTGCATTTTTGCCTAGTTTCATCGGTAGTTACAGTAGTTTATGCTTAGCTTTGCAGTTTAGTTTCCTCAGTGGTTACAGTATTTACGCTTGGCTCTTGCAGTTTATTCACGTTACTTATCAGGTTATATTTGTTATGCTTTCCCTCCGTTCTCTTAATGTAAAAATGGTTATATATGCACGCCGATTGTATACCCTTATTTTGTACCTGCAGACTTCACGTGCCATGACTTGCCCTATTCAGGTGACCTGGACAGGGGGGTGGCCCCCACGTTGCCTGGGGCACGGTACACTCCAGCAGATGGCGGCGTCGAAGCGTCGTCGGGAACGTCGTATATTTAATGATATCCCGTTCTTTGCATTCCTAAGACAATGTAAATTAAGATTTTATACGCTTATATGGAAGGTTTCTTATTTTGTACTGGCAGACATCTCGCGACATGCCTTGCCCTTCCTCTTAATTACGTTCTACATTTCAGCACTAACATGCCTCCTGCTTTCAGATTACCACGGATTCCTTTTCCCAAACAGCCTACCTTAATTTACTCCGACAGTTGATGCTTTGCTCATGTCGCATGTTTAATTTTGCGTTGCTGTGTTCAGTATGTTTGTTCTTTTTCCTTGCCTTACGTCATTACGTAAAGTCAACCAGGATGGGCTATTTGCAGAGTTACTAAGTAAATTATTAAGTAAAGTCAGCCAGGATGTGCTATTTGCAGAGTTACTAAGTAAATTATTAAGTCAGCCAGGATGTGCTATTTGCAGAGTTACTAATTACTAGTCTTTTGCTGGGCTACCTTTATGCTTCTCCCCTTCCTGTCTAGGTATGTTTAGGTATGGCTAGCGGTGCGCGAGCCGCGGCTTATCGGTTCCTCCTACGTCTGCGTGTCTGTTAATTTTGTTATTGTTGGACTCGCAATTTGATTTGTATTTATTACGGAAAAATTTTTCTCCCGCAACTTACTCTTTGTTTAAGTTTCACGTTCAATTTGTTATTAAGGGACTATCAATTAGGATTTGTATTAACCTATTGCTTTGCCTCTGTGCCTTTAAGTTATTTTCAGCTAAGGTACGCTAGTTGCAGTGCATTCGGGTGGCCCCCCCCCCACAATTTTTTTTCTCCTCCGGTTATTTCGTCCTATTACACTCGTTTCCCTCATTATATATTCTATTCTGAATTTGTGCATTATATCTGACCACCCATTCTTCATCGTATCAACAGTACATTAAGTTACATTTGGACGCTACCGAGAAGTTTAGCTGGCCTCGCGCACGGTGTCATGCAAAAAACTGGCCATTCGGCCTTCCTTTCGGCAAGCTCAAGCCAGTCAGTTAGCATGACGTCGGCCAGCTTGTGGTTGGCCAGCGCAGCCAGCATGCTGTTGGCCATAGGTCGCTAACGTTCTTTGGCCATCCGGCCTTCTGGGCTATTTTACTCTTCTTGTTCCTTCGCCTTTGTTGTTTCCTACTACGTAATAGTATTCTATTTAATTTTACCTCATCTATCATTAGGTTAGGGGCCCCTTACCTCCAACCGCTATTCCTTCCACTGCGCTCTGCCCGCTTGGCGCTCAATGCCGGTTTCTTCTGTTCCCTTTATTCGCAGCCACGACAAGCCGGAACCCCCCCCCCCCCCCCTTCACACCCTACTGCGGCGAGGAAGAGAACGCGAGCCGGATATTCCTCTGATCACCATCAACGCACGCAGCGGTGCCGGGATGCAGCCGCCCAGGGCCTACGTTAATACTATTATCTTCTCTTTATTTGCTGGGCTATATGGCAGTATTAATATTACTCCGTACCGTTACTGTCATTCCAGTATTATTTTATTAAAATATAAATTGTTATTATGGTTTGGCGTTGCTTTCTTAATTTCTTCCATTCTGCGGCACTTGCCGTCATCTGTTATTTACGATATTACATTGTATTCTTCATTGTGCGATTATTTACGACATTGTATTCTTATTATTATCCTTATTACAGTTACTGAATGGCAGCTCCCTGCCGTCGATTTCACTTTGCTCCTGTTCTAAAGATGTTGCCGAAGTTCACGGCGTACTAGCTGCGGCTCACAGACGCTCATTGACAACACAAGACTACACTCAGCGGCCACTCAAGGCAGACCCCTTGGCTTCCATCCAGCCCAATCACCCGTCTGGAGGCAGAGATGGGATAGAGACCAAGGGTAATGTTCCCCGCTCACATTCTACATCCGATTAGGACACAAGCATGTTATAGATTTGGCTTTAAGAATTGGTTCTTATTCCATTTTATTGTTTATGTATATGTTGCTTAGTTGTTATACCCTTTCTTGGTATATGTATTGTTTATATTCAAGATTTATAGTGTTTCGTCTTACCCTGTTATAGTTGCTTTGTGCCTCCTTGCTGTTCTACCGGTTTTCTCCAACCTTTGCTCTTAGCAAAGGTACTTCCCCCTTCCGTTTGCTGGAAGATTCTTAGATTTGTTAGCCCCCCTTCATTGCTACAGTATAATTATTCGGATGCTCTTTATTCATCCAGGATTGTTAATTAAGGTTTCTCTTAATTCCTGCTGCCGGGCTCCCTCCCCCGTTTTCGTCTCCGTATTGATTCAGCTAGGGTTTCCCTCTCGTCTGTGCTCTTGCCTGTCACGATAACACTGCACGCCGCTTCTGCCCACCCTTACTGCCTTATATCTTTCAGCCCGGGGGAGGTGAGCTACGCGACAAAAAATCGACGCACGCTCCGACTGGACCAGGTATCGCTTACATGGTCAGGAATCAACACTCTTCGGATCCTACAAGCACAGATCCTACAAGCGCTCCTGTCACCAGGCGAGATTTCTCCAGGATCCTACGCGCTGCCCTCTCGGCGCTAGGCTTGACTTCAGATGACTACGCTCCACACCCAGCTGTCTCGGGACGGGCTCGCCACATCAGAAATAATGGCAAACGGCAGGCGGAAGAGTAGTGCCCACATCCTACGTCAGACGGGACGTTGTTGCTCTGCTACATTGAGTGCCTCACGCGGCCAGCTGGCACTCGCCCTTCGGGGGGGGGTCCGGCCGCTGGCCTGCGGTGGGGGTGCAGCGCCGGTCCCCAAGTGTCCCGCTGTCCGCAGCTAATACTTTGCCCAGTCTAGGTGCTAGTAAGCCCTACTTGTAGTCACACCCCCTTCTCCTTATCCATTAGGTCTTTTACGGCCTCTTGGCCGGGTACATTACGTGTTATGTGGTCTCTCACTTATTAGTTATTCTTTGTGTCCTGCCTGTTATATCCTAGTGTTATATAATTACTACACATTTGCACTCGGCCTTAATTCTAGTACCAGTTAACCTTTAGGTTTCTGCAGAATTAGTTTCCATGTCACTATAGGCTAAGGTCTCATACTTACTACGGGTGTACCTTTTAAGTTAAATCTAGTCCTCGGACTTGGAATTGTTACTGTTAATTCTTACTTTATATATTTACTTTATATATTTTAATATAAACGTTATATAGTCCTTAAATTATATATTTTGAAACTTTATATATTTACATGTTCAATATTAAGTTTAATAATATCAACTTTGTTATAAGCCTATAATATAAACCGTGTTTAATATAAACTTTATATAATTACTTACTTTATATTTGAACTTTATACATTTACATGTTCTGCAGAATTTAATCTTCAATAAACTTTAACGCCCCATACTGCCAGTATCTTTCTCCCCCTGGTCAGAAAACACATTTATTATATAGCATTTAATTAAACTGCTCTTTCACTTCGGGGGCGCTTACGCTGATAGGGTGTTTTGGCAATTCCAAATGTTTTTGGGATTGAAAATATTTTGTTTTTGTCATACATTTTAGTATTTTCATTATAAGGTTTTCTTGATATAAAGCACCATAAGTAATCTCTCTTTTCAGCTTTAGTTTTTTGGTCCCAAACTTCCTTAGGAACCAGGTACTTATCTAAATTGGATATTATATAATTTCCTTCTCCGTGTAATGCTCTCCTCAGATCTAGCATTTGGAGCGTTGAAACATTGCAAATTTTTTCAATTAATTCTGGCAGTTTTTGGGGTTTCCAATCAATAGTCAGTTTAAGGATATGGTTTAGTGACTCACAATTGTTATTAGCCCATAACGTGTCCATTTTGGCTTTTGCGTGAGGTACACACACATAATTCCATAGAGAAGATTTCAAACGGCTATCAAAATAATCTTTGAACTTTGGGTATTTGTAAAAGTAAAATATGAGATTGTTGATTCCCCTTTCAAACTGATCCTCACAAACACTTCTAACTAACCCATTTGTACCAAAAATTTTCTTTTGGATACAAATCCTCTCGGTGTTTGTACAACCAATGTAATATACCAATTATTGGAGAGTTGAGAAGCGGGACCAAGAAATGCAGAATCTCAATAACCGAAAGAACAATTAGGTTGTACTGAAATTAACGTGGTGATTTATATAGTCTGTAAACAAGTACTATATCTATAAAATATAAAACTTATTTTAATTATCCTGCACTTCAAGAGACCACAAGCATTCTTACTCTCATTTATTTTTGTAGCAGAAATGTTTTGTCTATATTTATTTAATGGAAATTAGTGGTGTTTGAGCAAGCTAATCAACGTCAAAAATGTTTACGTTGTTGTTCTTCATCTGTAGTACTGAGCTCTACACATATGGGTAGCTTTGCCGCAGGCTGTTTACTGCTCTGAGAAATAAACATAAATCCACATGCCTGGAGCCCGCGGTGCCCGGCGCCTTGCTGTGGGAAGTCAGAGATGTTTATGATTCTGGTCTAGGAATACCGTGGGATTTCACCAAAATGTGTTGTATACAATGAAATGATTATACATTGCTCTGTTGTGAACATTGTATACAGTACCTCAAGATATAAATCCCACACCATTTAACTAGCTCCCAGATACCTAATTAATTCCCTACTCTCTGTAAATGTCTTCCTGGGGTGTGTGTGTGTGTGTGTGTGTGTGTGTGTGTGTGTGTGTGTGTGTGTGTGTGTGTGTGTGTGTGTGCGTGTGCGTGTGCGTGTGCGTGTGCGTGTGTAATTACCTAAGTGTAGTTACAGGATGAGAGCTACGCTCGTGGTGTCCCGTCTTCCCAGCACTCTTTGTCATATAACGCTTTGAAACTACTGACGGTCTTGGCCTCCACCACCTTCTCACTTAACTTGTTCCAACCGTCTACCACTCTATTTGCGAAGGTGAATTTTCTTATATTTCTTCGGCATCTGTGTTTAGCTAGTTTAAATCTATGACCTCTTGTTCTTGAAGTTCCAGGTCTCAGGAAGTCTTCCCTGTCGATTGTATCAATTCCTGTTACTATTTTGTACGTAGTGATCATATCACCTCTTTTTCTTCTGTCTTCTAGTTTTGGCATATTTAATGCTTCTAACCTCTCCTCGTAGCTCTTGCCCTTCAGTTCTGGGAGCCACTTAGTAGCATGTCTTTGCACCTTTTCCAGTTTGTTGATGTGCTTCTTAAGATATGGGCACCACACAACAGCTGCATATTCTAGCTTTGGCCTAACAAAAGTCATGAACAATTTCTTTAGTATATCGCCCGTGTGTGTGTGTGTGTGCGAGAGAAAAAAATTAGTAAGTAGTTAGTAATAATTGATTGACAGTTAAGAGGCGGGCCGAATGAGCAGAGTTCAACCCGCGCCTGCACAACTAGGTGAATACTCTCTCACTCTCTCTCACCACCCACATATAACACCCACATATGTGTTGTATGTGGATGCTGAAGTTCAGTCTCTTGTCTATGTATAGGTCAAGGAACTTTCTATAATCATTATTGCTAATGTTAACATTGTGTATCTGAAGTTGAATTTGGTTTTAGGATTTACTTCCGAACAAAAATAGTAGTCGGTCTTTTTTATGTTTAATGTGAGTTTGTTAGTTTACATCCATGAGTGGACTTTTTAAATCTGTTATTTTCATTATTATATAGTGCGTTTGGGTTGGGGTCTGAATAGATGAAGGTAGCATCGTCAGCACTTATGTTTACACTTATTGGAAGTATCTAAGTATCAACTAAAGTATCTTCACACTTGACTTAAACTTTAGTAGCTATTTTCTGGACCATTCCTCAAGTTTCGGAGGTCAACGAAGATGGAATTCACATGAAATGGATTATGTTACCATCACTAATAATGTTGTGTTATTCTCTGTCTAGCTTCGGACACGGTCATGTTACAATTGTGTCTTAGAGAGTTGCGCGCAATTAAGGATGATAGAAATCACTTACAATTAATGCAGGATGGTAGAAAATCACAATTAATGCATCAAGTTTGGAGACTTGAATTGACATTGAAATTGAAATAAGCCATGAGGTATATATACGCTTGTATGTATACGTTGACGTACACACATATGATTATGTGTATGGAATGATTATGATTATGTGTAATCATATATGATTATATCTAATGGAATGCATTAGTAAGTGATGTGGTGGAGGCTGACTCCATACACAGGTTCAAGTGTAGATATGATAGAGCCCAATAGGCTCAGAAACCTGTACACCTGTTGATTGACGGTTGAGAGGTGGAACTAAAGAGCCAGAGCTCAACCCCAGCAAGCACAATTAGGCGAGTATATGAACGAATGCACATGTACACTTTCAAATGAATTAAGATACCTTGAGATACACAATGACTTAGTTTAAATAGTTTAAACACATTATGGTACTGATTTTGACATGCTGATGTCTGGAAGGGAGAGGGGGTGTGGGGGGTTATTGTCTGAGGTGGAGGACCAGAGGAGGGGGTCAGTGGAAGGATGGTGGCTGGAGGGATGCCATTGTTCTAATGGTTATGAAAACAATTATTGGTGGCAGGAATTCAGTGGGTGTGTACTTCACCAGCACCATCACCATACTGTGCCCTGCTACAACCCCCCCCCACTCCACCCATTCTGTGCGGGGCGTATTGCACATTATGGGATAACCGACTGTCTGTCCATTCCTGTCTGCTCGTTATGGTGCCCTTCCTTTTGAAAATTGTCTGCTTTATCGACTTCCTTCAAGACCACACGTTAGCCTCTTATCACGCCCTCTTACCACTCTCAGGGAGCCGGCTCTTCTATACAATAGTTACTACTCAGTCCCCAAGGTGAAAGAGTGTCCGGGCATATGACTTGTTACGTGTACTTATTTGCGATTCGTTTGGGCTGTCACGTGTGGTGATTAGTGTTGGGTAAGGCTAGGCCAGGTCAGGTCAGACTAGGCTAGGTAAGGCTAGGCCAGGCCAGGTCTGGTCAGGTCTGGCTAGGCCAGGTCAGGCCAGGCCAGGCTAGGCAGGGTGAGAGAAGTAAAGCGGCAGGTACTTACGTTTTCGAGAAAGTAGTGGCGGTAGTATATTGTTGATTTAGATTCGACGACATCCTGAAGCTAGTAGGTGGCGGCCTCATCGCTCTCGAACTTCTTGTTGTTGTAGGGGATACGAGGCACACCCAATATCCCCCTTACATTGATCACATCGCACACTAATATTTTTACTATTTCGGACACCAGATTTGTCTGTTTCGTATATGTATAATTGTTCAATATTAAAACCACAATAGAATGCTCTTAACAGTTACAATTTTCAACTTAACAGCCATATAGTTGGCAAGAACGCCGCCCGCCAGTGCAAATGTCTCAGACCCTGTTGGAATATAACCAGTCTGTCAATCGGGTCAACCCAAGTGTTGCGTTTCCATGCGTTTCCAAAAGGGTCGCCCATGTTGGAATCGGTGAACGCCCTAGTAATATTGTTGAAAACATCTTAATAACTTATTAAACCAAAGGTCTTTTTATGTCAGAAGAACGGCAGAAACTAGATCTATATATGAAAACTCTTTCAGGACAAAATTTAAAGTAAAACTAAAGATATTTGTAGTTGTATAAAAGTTGCATTTTTCATCGGTCGTAGAGCCGGAAATCCGCAATATTCATCTCAGAACAATGCTTATTTCACGCAGAATCGTTAATAAACGTAAGATTTTTATAAGTCTCAAGAAAGATAGAAACATAAATTTACTTTAATCTAGTTTTACATAATCTAGTTTTACTTTAAATTTTGTCCTGAAAGAGTTTTCATATATAGATCTAGTTTCTGCCGTTCTTCTGACATAAAAAGACCTTTGGTTTAATAAGTTATTAAGATGTTTTCAACAATATTACTAGGGCGTTCACCGATTCCAACATGGGCGACCCTTTTGGAAACGCATGGAAACGCAACACTTGGGTTGACCCGATTGACAGACTGGTTATATTCCAACAGGGTCTGAGACAGTACACATGTCCACATCCCAATGCCCGCCCTTCCAGGACTGGGGGTGCTGGGGTGTACAATAAACTATACCCACCTCCGGCGGCAGCTTGTCGAAGGCGGAAGTGTAGCCTAGACAATTTGTCATGATAATTAGTGATGGCTCTTATTTTGATTATGGGTCCGTAATCCAGTTAAGCTTTTATTCTTAATTTATATTACAATGCTGGTAAAATACACTTCTTGATGATGAGTATGGAGTACAAATGAACTCATTGTGTACCCAAGTTCAAGTTCAAGTATGTTTATTGAGATAAGCAATAAATACATCTCAAAGGGATAGAGTAGCTTAGGCTATTTCAACCCCCCCCCTCTAATTCAAATTCCTCAAGGGGCGCACAAATGCTGTGAGTACAAATAGACAAATAACATTACAAGAATCCAAACAAGAATTGTGTACCCTATACTCATCCTGTGAGTATAGGGTACACAATAAGCTACCACTCACATCATGGGTATGGGTTGCACAAGAAACTATCGCGCAGAGGATGAATATGGAGAGCAAAGTAAACAAAGATTCACACGATGAGAAAGGGTTGCGCAATGTCCTATGACTCACAGGATGAGTATTAGCTGCACAATAAACTACAGGTCACAGGATAAGTATGGGTTGCACAATAAATTACAGGTCACAGGATGGGTATGGGCTGCACACACTACCGGTAACAGGATGAGTATGGGATGCACAATAAATTACGGGTCACAGGATGAGTATGGGTTGCACAAACTACTGGTAACAAGATGAGTATGGGGTGCACAATAAATTACCGCACAGAGGATGAGTATAGGGTGCACAAACTGGTTGGGTAAATGGAAATGGTTGGGTACATTTCCTTTCACCTAATGCGACTATTCATGTGTCCGGACACCGGCGATTGTATGGTATTGGCTATTTATTTAACCATAACTTTGCATTCATTTAACAATTATATTAAGATATGTTTTCCTTGAAATGTAGTTACATTATCGTCTACATGTCTTTATTCTGACAAAGACGTATGGCTTTACTTTGCATACTGTATATGCAAAGTAATTATAAAATTGATTGGCTTGTGTGGAGGCCTTCACACTCCCTGAGCGAGCCATCAACTATAAAAAGGCATATATCTTCACTTTCACTTCAGTTATATTTATGCCAAAGTATTAACATGCAGCTTATACTTATGTCTTTATGATGACATAGAAAACTTCGTTTATTACAATATCTAGATTAAATTAACATTGATCTTCGGAAGGTCATAGTTCCCATATCGGTAAGGAGAGCGTCGGCCATGAAGCCTTGTTTAAAGTATGAATATTTTTCCTCTCTAATAAGGTATAATCTCTGTGATGGATTCACAAAAACTATTTTATATCTGCCTTTCTGATAACATATACAAATATAATCTTTATTTGTGAATATTTGTTAATTAAGCAATATATCAGAGAGCGTGTAGGGTTCGGTGTTCTATGAACGAAAAGGACTGGAGTAGTTTAAATAGTGAACGCATACCAACGAATAACGCTAGTATCTATATAACAAATTTATTGTCATGTGGAATTGATTTAACTTCCAGACACTTTTTTTTAATAAATATTAAATATTTTGTGGCTGTTTATGAAAAATATTATTATAAATACACATTCTACTTGTTAATATTACCAATTAAATTTGCGACAATTTGAGCCATGAAATACGACGACTGGATCACTGTGTACAGGAGGCTGTTATGGCAGCAAACACTCTCCAGGCGACCATATATCTTGGATAAGTCGCTCCACAAAATTGTCGCTTGGACCGTCGACTTCCTATGGCGTCACCTCTCACATATTTACGTCTCATTTCATTATGAAATTAGATTATTTCAGAGTAAAAATAGGGTTGATCATGTTCTACGTGTAGCACCAACATTATAGTAAGTAAATATACCATGTTTCTTCATTACTTACGTAATGCTAGGACGATTTGTGTAGTTTTGGGCCGATTTGGGTAATTCTATGGACCCGTTTTTCCTCCTTCCGTGACCAACTCCCTTCCTGACCAACTCCCTCCCTCCCTTCCTGACCAACTCCCTCCCTCCCTTCCTGACCAACTCCCTCCCTCCCTTCCTGACCAACTCCCTCCCTCCCTTCCTGACCAACTCCCTCCCTCCCTTCCTGACCAACTCCCTCCCTCCCTTCCTGACCAACTCCCTCCCTCCCTTCCTGACCAACTCCCTCCCTCCCTTCCTGACCAACTCCCTCCCTCCCTTCCTGACCAACTCCCTCCCTCCCTTCCTGACCAACTCCCTCCCTCCCTTCCTGACCAACTCCCTCCCTCCCTTCCTGACCAACTCCCTCCCTCCCTTCCTGACCAACTCCCTCCATCAATCACTGCCTCCCATCCCTCCCTCAAGGCCTTGGAGGTCGGTGGCCTGTTGCCACATGAGGGGCCGCCGATGCCAAAACAAACTCGATACCGACCTTCGGTAATATCGACCGCCAGACTGGTATATGAGGGTCCAGATACCGATCTCCCAAACCGGTCGTTATTACCGGCAGATCGGTATAAAAGAGGCCGTTAAATTGAGTGGATACTGTATACTCAACACTTTCTGATGTTTATACTGTATTTCAAAACTGCTGAAATTACACCTGTTTGAAGAGTAGGATCTTAAAAAAAAAAACATTTTATTTACCATGTATTAATATAATACAAATATGATACATAATAATATTGCATTGTCTTAAGCAACATCACCATCAATTACTCCACACTTTTCCAGGTAAGCTTTGCAAAACAGTTCACTGGTTATAATGTGCCAACTCTCTTCATCCTTTATATGTATAGTGCTTGGTCATTTTTTTAAATCCAGCATTTCAGTACAGTTATTAATATTTTAACAACTTTTTCATAACCTATTTACACATTAAATTTTCATACTGTATATAATGTTTTCACAACTTTGAAAGCATAACAAATATTTACTTGTTGCCACCTGTTACTAATGTTTACTAAGATTGTCTTGGAATCAAGTTTAATCTGAAGATGTTACTTTGTTTACCTTTAATAATTGATCACTTTTGAATTGTCAAAAACACTTTGGTGACCTGTAATTTGAAATATGCCCACTAAAATTAAGAACATTTCAGTTGAGACTGCATTTATACACAGGCAAATTCATCAGCAAAATGGCAAGTGTATTATATATTAAATGTACATCTCTTGGTGCCAAATGAGCAATATCAGATGATGAGTAATACACCTTTGTTCTACCTTAATTAATTTCAGAAATAAACTACAGATCATTAGAAACAGAGATTCCACAAAAATTATCAAAGTGAATAAACTTAAATACAGTACCTGTACAAAATTCCATGACAATTTATTATAAATTACAAAAGACAATAGCAATCTCAACAGTTATTTTCAGAAACCCAAATCTTTGCTAACATTTTAAATATAACTGACATGCTTGAGAATCGGTTAGGTTGAAATAGACTTGTCCACCTGCCATAACAATATATACAACACTATTAAGCCTACAAATACTACGTTCCTTGGTGAGCCAATTCCTCACAACTAACACAAGTGTTGGGGCCCCAGAAATCTATTGTAAATTGTCTTCAAATAAATATCTATCAAATTTCAGTTAAAGATAATATATACATAACCATGAAATTTTGAATAACTATAATCTTGATAAGATTGTATAGTGAAAAAGGGTGAGAGATAGATTTTGTTTAAACAACCTATTGACAAATATTGCCCCAACATAGGCCTAAATAGGAAAATGCAAATTCACAAAGATGTGACTAGACTTTAAACTTGAACTAGTTTTTAATTTAAATTCTAAAAAAATTACAATGCTAAAATATTAGTGAATAAGGATCTTAGAAAAGCAACAGCTGACTTGAGTGTTTACCATTCCCATATATGGTTTCTGGAAGTTTTGTCCTTTTTACAAGCTAAAAAAAATAAGCATTTCTATTCAAAATTTATTTGTAATGTGCTGCAACTCGTAGGGCATGCAATAATGTTCAAAATACATCACCACATAAGTACACACAATGTTATGCAGAGCCTGTTAATAAAGTTTGTCCAAACTATATTTGTATCACAGTTTAAAAGGTTACATAACCAGGAAATTATCAATAACTCAAACTACTTAAAATGTCTTTTGCCATAAATTCTAGGACTGGAACTAATGAAAACCAAGTTATAGAACATGCAGTATATAACATTTTATTAAATGTGCTACTTTGAACTAATTACTGAATTGTATATAGTACTTTCCAGTGGTTATTGACTTTGCAGTTTAAATACTATTCCATACCCTAGAGTAATACTGTTAAAACGAAGTAGATGAACTACGTATGTATGAAACAAGGGTATGGAATGTGTGGGTAGTTATTATCCAAAATAATAAAGGTAACACTCGGTAGAAAAGTTCAACCATTACACTCAAAATACATATGCTCATTGTGCAGTGTTTTCTGGCTTAAAATTATTCAATTTCCAGTTTTGTCAATTGTAGATAAAAAAATTTAAAGTTCATATATTAGGAAGAATTGTTACAGGCTAAGTGACACCATTCTGTTGAGCAGAAAGGCTGACAATTAGTTGAACATAGCATTAGTACCTTAACTGTCTTTTGGTTACAAAACTAAGACCACAACATAAATTTGAGTTTTATTTATATAAATCAGTTTGGTTCAAATTCTTGTTGTAGTCTTAATATAAATTTTACAGTATATCACCTACAGTAGATACCTGTTTTAAGTTGTTGTTTTAGATTCAGCTACTCGGAACAAAATTTCCATGTAGCACAGGCTATGGTGAGCCCGTAATGTTCCAAGTATACTTGGTGACATTTATAAGTCTTAATCAACCTTTAATATTGTATTCATATTTATGTAGCATGACAATTTATCATCTTTCAGATGCTTGATAACAACCATTTTTCGTGAGTACTGAAACCTAGACATCGACAACAACAAAATATATACTGTATATCAAAATGCAACAAGTACCTTCTAAGTGTTTTTCAGGGGTTGCATTTTATTAAGTGGCATTGTACCTAAAACCATATTTTACAACCACTGTTCACAAGTTTACAGAACTTGAAATATAACCATTTCCCGTTTCTGGGTAAAAAAAAAAAAAAAAAAACATACTGTACCTTTTCCTTCCAAACATACAAACTTGTACAATCCAAGCATATCATAATGCTAGCACTGGCAAAGTTGGTGGAGTCATACACTTGCCTCTGGATGTTGCACTAATTGTTACTTTTGGGTTCCCGGGGCCCCGCTGAGTTTACACCGTTATGGTTGCCAAAACTACTGTTATGTCATCAGGTTTCCCACCTAAAAAGAGAGAGAGAAAAAAAACATGAAGACCGCTTGCATGTCAAAAATCACCTGCACCCAAAATAATCATATTTTGTATGATAATTTTATATAATTGTTTAAATTCTTGTACAACAGCACAACCATCAATGTATAAAAGGGGAGTTAACTGAGCAATTGTCTCATATGAGTGCAATGTAAGAAGATAGTGGCAGAAAATGCCCAATTGTCCTTTAACCTTAAAAAATGACTATCAAAAGCCAAGGTCTAGAAAAAGTTAATGCTTGTGAGCACTTGAATACCTTGTGTTGGTTCCGAGGATCAATGTCCCTATGGCCGTTCTCTGACCAGGCCTGGTTGGTGGTCTGGTCAACTTGGCTGTTACACAAAGCTGCTCGCAGCCTGACACATGAATCACAGTTCGGTTAATCAGGTATCCTTTGGAGGTGTTTATAAAGTTCTCTTTTGAGCACTTGAGAGGTTGGATAGTTTAGATAAATAGATAGTTTGTATAAACTCCCTTATGTTTAGTGAGTGTTGAAAAAGTCTTGGGTCTTTGATGCTGATCGTCTATCATTGTGCCAATTGCACCTCTGCTTTTCAATGGGACTATTTTACACTTCGTGCCATGCCTCTTAGTCTCATTTGGAGTTAATTTCCATGTGCAGAATTAGAACCAGTCAGAATGAGTCCCTCTATTATTTTCCAAGTGTAAATTATTATGCATCTCTTGCTTGTGCTCTAGAGAATAAAGATTTAAACATTTTCAGCAGTCCAGTAATTTAGATGTTTTACAGTGTGGGTTTGGGAAGTAAAAGGTCTTTGCGTGTTCTCTTGGTCACCAATTTCTCCAGTTTTGAATGGGGCTGTTATTGTGCAACAATATTCAACCCTAGAGAGTACTATTGCCTTAAAAGTATCATCACTGGCATCTCTTGCTCGAAAAATTCTTGTGAACCAACCTGTAATTTCTCTTACAGTTGTAACATTTACTTTTCTGTATTCCAAAGTAAGATCTTCCAACATGATTACTTCAAAATCTTTTATACTGCTTTTTCTTTCAATTGCGTGACAAATGCTCATTCTTTCTGCCATGTTGCCTGCTGGTTCAGTGACACCTTTGACCCCGAGACGTTTGGGACTTGTTCTCCTCATGTTACTCATCTTACACACCCTTGCGATGATGTGCAAGGTTATCAGGCGGCAACTGCTTTGCCTTTACAATTTTTTGTTTTATAATGGTCTGGGTTGTATACTCGATAGGATATACTCAGAGCTGCCCCGCTTGGTGTTCAGGGTTACCTGGTTGATACCTGGTTGATGGGGTTCTGGGAGTTGTTCTACTCCCCAAGCCCGGCCCGAGGCCAGGCTTGACTTGTGAGAGTTTGGTCCACCAGGCTGTTGCTTGGAGCGGCCCGCAGGCCCACATACCCACCACAGCCCGGTTGGTCCGGCACTCCTTGGAGGAATAAATCTAGTTTTCTCTTGAAAATGTCCACGGTTGTTCCGGCAATATTTCTTATGCTTGCTGGGAGGACGCTGAACAACCGCGGACCTCTGATGTTTATACAGTGTTCTCTGATTGTGCCTATGGCACCTCTGCTCTTCACTGGTTCTATTCTACATTTTAGAATAGAACTAGGGGCTCGGGGTTCATCCGTGGTTTCGTCAGCAGCCCCTTTTCCATCCCCTTCGAGCTTTGTGTGCCCTCCTCCTGATCTTTCCCTCTTGCTTCTGGCCCAGAAACATCTGAGGGTTTCAGAGTTGGGGCTAGGTTTGACTCAGGATTTGGCTTTGGTCGGCTCTGGGGTCCTCCCCTTCTGACTCTGGTGCAGAAGTAGTTGAGCCTGTTGATCCTGCTGGGACTTCCTGGTCTTCTTTTCAGCTGGCACCTTCCTTCGCAGCCTTTCTCTTGGACTCTGCTTCTCTTTCCCAGGCAGTGAGTGTGGATGATGGCTCTGCCCTGAGACCATCTGCTCGAGTTCCCAGAGCTTGGGGATGGAGGGAATCTGACCTGGGTTCTATGGAAGATCTTATGTTGCAAGGTAAGGGGGTTTTCATATTCCCCTTTCCTGTATGGGTTCAACACTACCCCAGGGTTTGTTTCAGGGGTGCCCTTGGGTTGCTTGGATTCGTCCTTCCAGAGGTTTCTGACCTTTCGATTTTCTATTGTAGAAGCTTTGGAGGCGCTCTTTAGTTACCTGCCTTGTGTAGCTTCCGGGGATTAACAGCCACTCGGCCCGGACTTCAACCAGACCTTCAGGTTGATCATCTGGTCAACCAGACTGTTGGATGTGGCAGTTCGCAGCCTGATGTATGAACCACAGCCTGGTTGATCAGGTATTCTTTGGAGGTATTTGCCGGGTTCTCTCTTGAACACTGAGAGGTCGGCCAGTTATGCTCCTTGTGTGTAGGAGACTGTTGAAATGAATTGGGCCCTTGATGTTGACAGCTCTCCATCAGCATACCTAATGCACCTCTGCTTTTCAACAGGGGTATTTTGCACATCCTGCCATGCCTACTGGTCTTGTATGATGTTACTTCTGCGTTCAGATTTAGAACCAGTCCGTCTAATATTTTCCACTCGTAGATTATTATATATCTCTTGCCTGCGCTCTAGTGTTTGCTTGAGAGTGCCCAGAGCACAGGTTCAAATTATTCTCATGGCTTCTACTGATTTTCTCATATTCTTCCATTTAAGATGCCAAAAGATGAAGTTGCTTATCATGATGATCGGGCCAGGGTTTGAGATTTTGCAAGTAGTATTCTATTTTCATTAGTTGGTCTTTAGATTGCTGCTAATTTGCCTTTAGTGATTTGCATACAAGGACAATAGCCCAATTTACAATTTCTATTTTGATTATCAGCACTTCCACCAAATCATTTGTGGTGTTGAAAACTCATTGCAGACGAGTGTGTTTATGATGTACAAGCCAACCACACTCTGTAACCGGTTTCTCGTTGCATCTGAAAACATTGCACTCCATATTTCATTATCATTTTAGTGCTTTGTGAGTTTGTTAGGGCTGCAAAGAGTGCATATGCCTCATTTAGGAGACCAGTTAGAAAATGAAGTTTGTTTTGCATTTTTTAATACAGTGAATATTGACCCATGAATACCCATCAATATACTGTACTGATGATAACATTATCACATTTGTGGAAGTGCTGGGTATTTTACTTTGTTTGAAAGCCAGTTGAAAACACTGAAAACCAGTACCAAATGTTTTCCCACTACATTTTACTTGAATAATGTTATTGGCACACTTACTGTGTGGGGGTGAAGAACAGAGTTGGCATTCTGTATAATGGGAACTACACTCCTCTGGCAGTTTGCTTATTGCTTGAAATATTTGAGGTATATTGCCTTCTGTTTTTTTTTTCCCCCAGGGATATTTCTGCGTGGGCCCTAAGCCTCTGGCTGGCCCACTAAGTGTTGCTTGTTTCTGTTTTACTTAGGCAGAGTATGAGTACAGTATTTATATGGTCACTTCAGTAAGATTTTGCCCCCATGTGTTTAACAACTTCTGCTCTGTTGAACCCAAGTTGAAATCTTAATGGGTTTGTAACTGTGCACTGTGCTAGATAATGTTCCAGTGATCTGTCAGGCATTTCTCCACAGTGCTCACATTTCCTCTCATCTTCCGGAACCTGTAAGCCTATTTCCCATGCACATGGGTATCCAAGCCTGATGCGATGTAAGTATACTTCTGTTGTTCTTCTGCTCCCTTTCATCAAAATAATCATTTGCACCACACAGTGGTGGTGGACAGAACAGTATTTTCCAAGAAATAATGTTTTTGATGAAAAAAAAAGTTTTTTGAAAATATTAAGAAAAAGAAAATAGTAGTCTTTTCTTTCACAGTACTGTGTACCATATTTTAAAAAGCAATCAACTAACAGTTATGTAGTCTTAGGTGCAAAATTTACTTATTTATTATAGAGTAGTTTTACAAATGTAACAATAACTAGTACAGTACATACCTATAGCATTGATACCATTTTCTCGTGCATTGCGAGCAAATGGCGACATATAATCCTCATCAAATGCTAATTTTCGAGCTTGCTGTGCAATAGAATTGGCTGCCTGTTGCAGCAATAATAAATCGGTAGAACCCTGGACTTTAACCATCTCCTTGATAATCATAGAGTCTGGGAGATTATCAAATACACCATCTGTAGCCACCATCAGCATGTCTCCTTCTTTCACTAGGAACTCCAAAGTGTCAGCACTCTCAGGTCTGAAAACAAAATGTGTATTACTATTTACTTAAGAGCATCTCCTCTCTCCCCTTAAGTTATAAAATGTTACTTTGTTAATGTTCTAATGTAAAAAGAAGTGTGTGCCTGATAATTTAGGTCGTGGGTGGTGTTTTATCCACCAGGCTGCAAATAACAATAGTCTGATGTTGTGACCATTAAGCTTTGCCTCAGATTGGGTCACAAAAATGGGGGGAATGGAACCGGAGGCTTGGGGGAGGGGGGGGGGGGGGTGGAATTTGTCATAAGCAATACAGTACTAACTATTCCACTACTTTCACTCTACAAGTTGTACTTGTTACAGTGCAAAGTACTGTACATTTTTATATTTGTATATGAAAGAAACAATGTAAGAAAATGCAGTCTATATCCTTATTGAAAGCCTTTTCTGGGGAACTGAAGAGTATAATGTATCAAGTTTTTGCCAGATGAAAGCTCTGTTGAGATTTTTTCTAGCTTCCTTGTAATGTATGCAAGTGTGTTGTATATAGGTGTGTTGGGAGGAAAGAGGGGGAGGGGGGTTAAGGGTGGAAGGAATGAGCTCATACAATATGGAACATTCATACAAAATACTGTATTCATACCATAAGTGAATGTACTCTTCACTCACATATTAACACAAGAATAAATTATGAAAGGAAAGAGTTTGCTGCTGTATCTTTTCCTGCTGCTTATGAATTAGTAAATAAGTCATAAGTAGTATCTTGGAAGTGAAGATTGAAACATTATGTGAAAGAAAGAAACAACTACGGTGGTCATTCCCTCAAGTGGAGCTCCTAGGAGGAAGCAAGGCATCAGTACAACAGTGTTATTTATTTTACCTGGATTTGCCTGGGAAGACTGGACTCACCTGTCACTGAGGACCTGTGCATTAGTTCCAGGAGGAGGAAGGGAGAGCTGGAAGGGAGTGTTGAAGTAATGCTGCTGCTCTTGTGATCGGTGCACAACTGATCCATTGCGCACCACTACAAAACCAGAATCCCCAATATTTGCCGAGTACAGTTGCCCTGCATCGCCTTGCAACACCACTACACATGCTGTGCTGCTTCCTGTAATACACCTTCATATTTATTACAATTGTTTTTAAGCTATCTGTTATAAAATACTTTATTTGCAATGCTATGGACACAAATTACAGTACAATATTTGGACTGGCTTAATTCTAAGAGAATAACAGAAGCATCACATAGCATGTACTACTTACCAAGGATGTGTGTCTTATTCTCAAGTAATTCATAGTAGGCCCTTGCAATAATGGCAGCAGGTTCTGAGGGGGTGAAGTGTCCACTTCGTACAACTCGTTCACTCACACGCATCAACGAATGAGAGAACTCTCCAGGGTCGATTCCCCACGCCCGCCACCCACCAACACCATCTGCTACACCTGCAACATAATAAATAATCAGTACTCTACAATATTAGTGTATTACGTTACTTTAATGCCCCAACTAACTTTAACATTCATCTCATTCTCAGTCTTCATGTTTTTGAAAAGTTTTTGTTATATACAAGACATTTATTCCCTCCTCACAGGACCCTACTCATTTTATACTGCATTAATGATAAGTACCTGAGTATACATGCTCATATTTCTCTATAATCTAGTGTGTCTTCAGCTCTGGAACAGATACAAAAATAGGACCCACTCAACTACCTGGAAGGAAGGAGGAGATTCGAGGAGCCACCGTGACTCGCCCAGAAATTGGAGTTTCATACCCAATAGCTCAGCCTGTGTCATGCTTGCCCAGTTGTTCAATCTGTGTACTAGACATGATCATTTCATTTCCTTTATATACTGCACATGCACACTCAAATATTGGCCGAGGACATATTAGGAAACACAGCCATGGGATCGGCATATTTCTGATCATGGGCATGAGGGTACACCGCAGGCTAGCCACCTAGACTTAACACTGCAGACGAACCACCTAAGAAATACATTTTCTCAGTTTTTTAGCTTGGCAATTGTTTACTTACCGGCACCACCACATCGGTCTAGTTAGAAAATAACTAGGTGCAATACGGCTAACGGAGGGGAAAAAAATAGCCAGGCCTCATTCCCTCAGTGTTAGGTGAGCATCACCACCACTCGAGCAATCCCCTGCATGGCTAGAGGAAGAAGGGAATTAAACTCATTCACCCAATCTCCTTCCTCTCCTGCTGCTATCGCTATACTGAACACACCCCGCCAGGATATAATTGTACATTTATTCATATATGCATATATACGTATAACATGCCAGTAAGAGATCAGAAAGAATGCTCATCTGCAACAACCCGCATTGAGAGACATATGGTACTGATAATACATTTTGTATTTATATATATACAACAGTTCTCACATTCTTGTCAAGCCATTAGCACGCATAGCGTTTCGGGCAGGCAAGTGACAACCTGTTACTTGATCTTTCCGCTCTAAATCCACGTTGGCCAGGGTTGTGGAGGTTATTGGTCTCCATGAAACTGGTGACATGACTTCTGATCATTCTCTCAAATACTTTTATTATATGGGACGTTAGTGCAACTGGTCTATAATTTTTAGACAAGGCTTTGCATCCTCTGTTGTATAGAGGGGCTATGTCTGCTAATGTAAGCAATTGTATGTCCTCTGTTGTATAGAGGGGCTATGTCTGCTAATGTATCATATGTAAGCGCATATGATATCTCCTCCGTGTCCAAGCTCTTCCTCCACACTATACTGAGTGCCTGTGCTACTGGCACTTTGCATTTCTATATAAATATTGAATTCCAAGAGTCTGAATCCGGGGCTGAGTGCATGGGCATGATGTAAATTTCTCTTTCAAAATCTGTCACGCTCGTTGATATCAGTTATATTTTCAGGGGTTTTGGATATCATGCTTAAAGTAGTTGACTAGATTTTCCACTTTCATGGTGTTTATTGCGGCGCTGAACATGTCCTCGTACTACTTTTTTTCTTCTTTTTTAGGTTCTATCTTATTTTACCTACTAGGTCCTGTCAAGTTCGAATCATTTGGCTCTTATTAGTCCGTGTATCTTATTTTCTTATTTCTATGGACTTGTTAATCATATTTTTATTTTACCTTTGTTCAGGGGGGCCAGTGAGCATGAGAGAGAGAGAGAGACACACACAGATAGAGAGGGAGAGACAAGAGAGGGAGGGAGGGAAGGAAGGAGGGAAGGAAAGAGGAGGGGGGGCCGAGTGTGTGCAAGCGCGTGCGTGCGTGCGTCGTCCTTTAGGGCCCTCCCTGAAAGATGAGTCGTGACGCCACATTGATGTAACCCCCAGCAATTTAATTCTCCCTTGTGTATTAGATACTCCCTGTGAACCTTCCTCGCTGAAGCTGGTTCCCTCCCCTCGTGCTCCCTAAAGGATGGATATCCTTCCCTGGGGAAGGATATTGGGTACCAAGGATTGCTCAGACTGGGAAGTGGACATAGAGGGAATGGCTCCATTAATCCGGCCTGCCCTGGTACCTCCCTCCCTCCTACCCCATGGACTGCCTGGGTTCACTATTGCTTGCCATCATTCCCCTTGGCTCCCCGAGTTGCTGGGGCCCCATCAGCCCCAAGCCATTAGTTCCCCGGCCAACTGCTGCTCTTCCACCGCCTCTCTCTTAACCATAAGAATCCAGTCAATAGTGTCTCCATTTAAGTTTAGTTTAGTGCCCCGTCTCCAGGTGGCCCCACCTACCATCCCTCAACTTTACCACTGTCACTCCTTCCTCCAGCATTCCTCCATTCAGTCATCCTCATCCCCACCCACTACCAACGTCCTCCATACACCACCTTTACTCCAGCCCCCCTCTTCCAGCAACGACTTCCAATTCAAAATTAATATTCCTGTATTGTTATGAATCTTGTATAGCAGAGATCATGAACAGGCGAATGTTTTCCCAGAATACCCAAATCAGGAATGTGTGGAAGTACACGAAGCGCACTTCATTAACACAAGCTCGCCCACTCCCACCTCTGCTTGTCTCTGGTCCTCAAGTGTTGCGTTAGTGCGGGACATAATTCTAAGGCGCCCGTAAATAGGAATCTCAACGCGTCGCTCACGGTGTAGCCGGGCCTCCACCATAGCAGGTCCACCCTGCTTCATGCCCGGTTGATGGGGTTCTGGGAGTTCTTCTACTACCCTACTCTACTCTACTTGACTTGTGAGAGTTTGGTCCATCAGGCTGTTGCTTGGAGCGCCCCGCAGCCGCTCCATACCCACCACAGCCAGTTGGTCCGGCACTCGAAGAAAACAATCTAGTTTTCTCTTGAAGATGCCCACGGTTGTTCCGGCAATATTTCTTATACTCACTGGGAGGATGTTGAACAACCGCGGACCTCTGATGTTTATACAGTGTTCTCTGATTGTGCCTATGGCACCCCTGCTCATCATTGGTTCTATTCTGCATTTTTTTCCATATCGTTCACTCCAGTACGTTATTTTACCGTGTAGATTTGGGACCTGGCTCTCCAGTACTTCCCACGTGTATATTATTTGGTATCTCTCTCGTCTCCTAGTGAGTACATTTGGAGAGCTTTGAGACGATCCCAATAATTTAAATTAAGTGCTGTATCGCGTCTATGCGTGCCGTACATGTTCTCTGTAGGCCCTCCATTTCAGCCACATACTTCGCACTTCTCCTATGTTCAGACTCAGGTTAAGCAGGCTATGTAAACACAACCTACTTTGTGTAGCTTCCGGGGATCAACAGCCCCGAGGCCCGGTGGTTGGTCGTCTGGTCAACCAGGCTGTTGGACGCGGCTGCTCGCAGCCTGACGTATGAATCACAGCCTGGTTGATCTGATATTCTTTGGAGCTGTTTGTTGATTAGTTACTGTTACAAACAGTAACTAAACACCTAAAAAGGTACGAGGAGAGAGTAAGGGAAAATGTCACCAGGGTCGATGTCGCACCCCAGGAGGGGAGGGGGGGCGGCACCCCAGGAGGGGAGGGGGGGGCGGCACCCCAGGAGGGGAGGGGGGGCGGCACCCCAGGAGGGGAGGGGGGGGCGGCACCCCAGGAGGGGAGGGGGGGGGCGGCACCCCAAAAAATACAATTCAGATGCGAATTGATTTCCCAAAATTGATAGCCAATCTAATTTGTGGAGGAAGCGGATAATTTGCGGTCGTGTACTGTGTCACCAGGGTACCGTGTCACCAGGGTACCGTGTCACCAGGGTACCGTGTCACCAGGGTACCGTGTCACCAGGGTACCGTGTCACCAGGGTACCGTGTCACCAGGGTACTGTGTCACCAGGGTACCGTGTCACCAGGGTACCGTGTCACCAGGGTACCGTGTCACCAGGGTACTGTGTCACCAGGGTACTGGTCTGATAACTAGCCTGGGCAGCAGTGCTAAGCCAACTGGTGAGCCCAGAACCATTGTTGCCTCAACCAAACGGCCAGGTTCCCTAAACTGTTACCGTAAACGATCTAAACTGATACCTTAAACAAGCTAACCTGTTACCTTAAATGACTTAGCTTCCTAAACAGTTGCCTTTAAACGACATGGTGGCCTAAGGAAACCAGCTAGGTAAATGACCTCATGAACTAAATGACCTGGCGAGATAGAGGGCGCGGGAAGATAAACGAGGCCATGAGGCGAGTTATTCAGCAGTTTGGCAGGGAAGCTTTTGGTGGGCGGGGAGAGGACGACAGGAGGGGGGCGTGAAGGATACCTGATTATACAGGCCACTAATTATACACACACATCTCCTCAGTTTGGTTCATTATGGGTCCCATACCCATCCTGTGGAACACCAATTGGTCCGGGAGACATTCCCGTCCACTCTCCCCTCTCTAGGTACACACAGCACCGCTCCTGTGCCAGGTAAGTTGACTACGGGCTCACCATAGCCCGTGCTACTTGGAACTTGTTCGAGTAGCTGAATCTATAACAACAATAACTCTCCCGTCACGCAGGGTGCAGTTGCGCCTCCACAGATCTCCAGTATCATCTTTTGATACTGGTAATGGCTCAAAAGGGCCACCACTTACGGGCTATTCATGCCCGTGCCACCTTTTGGGTGGCTTAATCTTCATCAATCAATCAATCTATTCTGTGGAAGGTGGCAGTCTCCTGATGGGCTCACCTGCTCCGTCCCCTCAATGATTTTCACTAATTTACATTTGTTGTGAGCTAATTATAGTTGTCATTTGCATCGTTTTCCCCGACAGTTTACATTTGGTCATACCTAGTTCCGCAGATGGTGCAAACTCCGAGGGATACTGATAACTCAGGCGGTAAACTTACCCATGAACACTGGGCGAGTAATGTGTGGAGTGGAGAGATTTTTAGATTTGGCATACAAGAAAATGTGTTTTGGACCCCCCCTCCCTCTCCCTCCCCCTCTCTCTCTCTCTCCCCCCCTCTCTCTCTCTCTCTCTCTCTCTCTCTCTCTCTCCCCC